TCTAAAAGAGTTTTAATTCCTTTTTAAATTGCTTGGAGATCTAAGACTCTTGGTTAAGTGCATCTTTCTTCAGTCATTTAAATCAGCTATCTCTTAGGAGACTCATTAGAATCCTTAGGAATAGGAATTACGGTGGTAGGAAAATAAGGTAAATTCGGATTACTGGGCACTTGAAGAAAGGATAGTCCTTGGTGAGTGGGGGGATTTGGACAGTCAGAAGGGCAGCATGGTGGAATTGGGAGGTTGGGCAGGGGGATGACCAGGAGGTGGGAGAGAAATGCATAAGGGAGATGGGAGGGCCAAAGACAAACTTTGCCTTCTTTGCAATTTTGCCTAGGGCCCTGGTGGTGGCAACCGCCTGTGTGCCACTGAAAATCGTGCCGATGCCTGGCATACTGCATAAATGGAAGCAGGGTACCGCGTGAGTTGAAACATTGGTCACACTATATAAAGTTTGTATATGTGAATCAGTGTAACTCAAACCCATGTAACTGGGGGTCTGTCTATATTTGGAATTTTCTAATAAGACATCGTAAGTTAAGGAAAAGAACACTGGGCTGAGATTCAGGAGACCTGGTTTCTAATTAGAAGCTTGGGTAAGTCACATAACCTTTTTGCTTCAATCAAGTTAAGTCTATAATTTGTTATATGGGAAGCCATATAATTTCCTATGTTAATACTAAAAATGTTAGTTTTTTTTTTAGAAAAGAATCACAAGTAGATACCCATTACTAGTATGTTATCTCAATTTTAAGATTAATTACATTTTTAAAAATCTCTGTCTTAGAAAAGAGAGAGATAATTTCTTTTTCCTGAACATATTTCAGATAATAGCAGGAAGGACCACGTAGGAAATTTAAATAAACATTTTGTGAATTGTTTTTGTGTCAGTTGAGAAAAAGCAGTTCGGTGCCCTTCGAAGACCATGGTCATTTTGACTAGATTGGATTAATTGCAAGAATGACCCTTGGCATGGCATAATGCCTCTTTGTGAGCACATAGTTTGTATAAGTCTCTGGCCATGATTCCAGAAAGACTGGTACAACTAATGTGAACTAAACAAAATTGGGGTGGACAGGAACACCCCCACCCCCAGTGGTAGGGATCAAACTCTGGGCCTTGCATATGCTAGGGAAGCTCTGAACCACTGAACTGTACCCATAGACCTAGGACCTGTGCCTAGATTACATCCTAAATATAGAAGTATGAAGGTACAGAAGGTTGTTCTGAAAGTACCATGTTTTAAAATTGCTTTAAATGGGAGCACAAACCATTTCTGAAAGGTTAAAATGAACAAGAATGATGGTGTATCATCAGATGTGCCTTGGAAGCCAACCTATAGACCCAAAAGTGTAGATCATAGAAATAAAATTTGTGGTATCATCCATGATGATGGGCTGTTTTGATCAGACTAAGTTGCCTACAGCTGGGGATGTATCTCAGTGGTAGAGTACTTTCTTAGCATGTGCAATGACCTATAGATTCAACCTTGAGCACTACAACCCTCCCTTCTGTCTCTCCTGGGCGGCAGAAGTAGCTCTGTGTCTCCAGCAGGGTTCTGCTTTGCCTGCCAGGTGTGTCAGTCAATGTTTCTGGAGTAGTTAGACCATTATTGCTGTTCATGGGGCTCTTCTTTGATCCTAGCATTTGGGAGGCCGAAGCAAGAGGATCAAGAGTGTCCCAGACTCAGCTACATAGTTAATTTGAGGCTGCCCTAGGCTTCATGAGACATCATCTCAAAAAGCCGAATCAACAAAGCACCAGAATTTTTTTTAGGAATTTTAGCTATTTGGGGTAGTAATTTTACTGAGCTGTATGATAATACTTCCTCAGTTATTACAGGATGCTAATCTTAACTGCTAATCAGTTATATAATGTGTGATAACATAAAATTGAAAGGAAAATGCAGTTCAGAAAGTAATTTACCTGTTCCTAACACAAGTTTAATAAAACTTAATACATCTACATCTATGTAGAACATTATTGCCTTTCTGCAAAATTATTGAATCAAAAATTTTTAGTGTTTTTTTCCCCGTGAATTATCTTCATTGTAAAATCATCTTTATTGTAATTTGTGTTTCTCTTGTCATCAACACATATTCTCTTAATTTTTTCTCATTTTAATGATTCATATCTTGGTCAGTTGTAAGCCATCCTTTTATTATACTTGGTTCATTTCATTTTAAGTATAAAGTATAGCCTTTAATGTACAAATACACATTTATAAAACACAATAATAGGATATGTCATAGTCTAGAGCATGTACATTCTTTAACATAAGAAATTTTAGCAAACCTAAGGCCAGTTTTCCTGTGTCTGTAACTACTTGATTTTTGTCAGTGTTCAGGAGTCTCCAAAACATTGTAAGCTCTATTAGCACTTGGATAGTGAATCACTTAGTTTCGCCCCTCATTTTGCATTTTGAACTCTAAATAATATTTCTATCTACAGAGCAGCCCAGAAAACTAAAAATCTCACCTCATAGAACCCTGTTGTCTTGGAATCTCTGCAGTTATTTAGCACTCCTCAAGTAAGCCTATGTTTCTGAGACAATATTTCAGGTAAAAAAAAAAAAAAAAAAAACAGAAGAAAAATAATTTGGTGTGTATGTGCAAGCACTGTAAGTGGCAAGTGTGTTTCTAGGTAAAGGAGGATGTTACCTAAGGATAAAAAGTGTTTCGGACGGGGACTACAAAAGCAAGTACGTGTCATAGTCATGCTCAGGTTCATTGAATCATTGTTCAGTAACATGCTTCTTATAGTGAAACTTGAAGTTGCTGAGAGTTCAGACAAGCCCTAGGACTGAACACACAGAGTTGGCTTAACACTAAATGAAGGTCAGTAAGTGTGGCAAGACTAGGTAAATGAGCCGGGCAGTGGTGGCGCACACCTTTAATCCCAGCACTCGGGAGTCAGAGGCAGGCGGATCTCTGAGTTTGAGGCTAGCCTGGGCTATAGAGTAAGTTCCAGGACAGCCAGGACTGTTTCACAGAGAATCCCTGTCTCGAAAAACCAAAAGAAAAAGACTAGGTAAATGAGATAGATGAGCTTCCAGCTGGACATAGTGACACGTACAATCACTTGAGGGGCTGAAGGAGGAGTACCTAGAATTCCAGGCTGGACTACGGAGTGAGAGCCTGTCACAACACCCCCCCCCCCCAAAAGAAAAGGTGAAATTTTAAACATGGAAGGATTACATTTGTAATCCTCTACCACTTGGGGGGCTGAAGCAGGAAGATAGTGAGTTTGAGGTCAGCCGAGGTTACAAATAAAAAAAGATGCCTGAAGCAGGTCAGTGCTGCTGCTTTTGAGGAAACAGACAGTTCTACCCACCCTAATCAGTTTACGAAGAAATTGTAGACTAAGAAGATGAAAGAAGTTGGAACATCTTGTTGGAAAAAAATGAGGGAGAGAAACAGGGTAAGTTTCTGACAGGAATCTTATGGCTTTAGCATCCCCGCTTCCCCACCACACACACACACACACACACACACACACACACACACACACACACACACACACAAAAAAAAAAAAATCTGTTCCTTTTTGGTTGTGGGTGGGTATGTGTCTGTGTATGCATGTGTGCATTCAGGTATGTATGTGTAGAGGTCAGAGAACACTTCTGGTGTTGTCACCCTGACCATTGACCTGAGGTCTACCTGTCTGTGTCTCTCTAGGCAGGTTGGCATTTACACGTGTATACCACTGTGGATAACTTCTTTCTTTTTACATGGGTTCTAGGGATCAGACTTGTGCTTGTAAGAAAAGCACTTTAGCCATGAAGTTATGCTCCAGCTGTTTGTTTTGTACTGGTCTTGGGACGCCTAGAGTCAGGCAATCCTGTAATCTTAGCTTCCCAAATAGCTGGGACTACAGGCATGCACCATTGGTCTGCTCTTGTTCTTTTGGGTTTAAATGATCATTTACTAGCAGCTACTTGGGTCGAAATGTGAAGGCAAGGCTAAAATAGATTAATTTTGTAGGTAGGATTATTGAGGATATAGAGGAAAGTAGTAGTGTCTTAAAAATTAAAGTTTACATCTTGTTTTTGATTTAGCTGAATAACTTAATGTTAGAAAGTAACATACAGTTCAGTCAATTGATTAAATGTCATATTTTGTTAACATTGGCCAGAAAAAGAACCTAACTTTTTTTTTTTTGTAGAAAACACTCTATTGACCCATATGTTCTAATTTAGTTGTGAACCATGTACAACTGATGTTTGACCTATTTGACTCAACGTGAAAAGAATTTAACCAGCTGCCCTTGCTGAATCTTTTGTCCTGTCTCAAGAATATGGTAAATTGTTTGTTTTTATTTTCTTGAGACCTCAGATTTCTGTAGGCCTCAATTTTATATTTTAGAGTTAAACTATCCAAAGCTTTGCCTTTCAGTAGGGAGGGTGGATATTTATGGAGGGTGCATACTGTACCAAGTTTTGTGTTGTATTCTGTCCTGCTGTCTATATATTATGCCCTTTGCAGTTAGTGCTTGAAGATGTTTTAAATAAAGGGTTAGTTCTATGGCTTCCTGCTTTTTATAAACTTATTTTTAGAAGTAGGAGTTCTTATAACCCAGGATGACCTTGAACTTCTGATCTTCCTGCCTCTGTCCTGAGAATGCTGGAATTATATGCATGGACTCTCACAGCCAGTTTTATGTGGTGCTGGGTATCAAACTGAGGGCTTCATGCATTCTTGGCAAGCACTTTACAGGTAATTCATTTGGCCAGATATAATGGCTCATACCTCTAATCCTGCCTAGTGGGAGGCTGAGCAGGAGCATTTCTGTGTTTGAGGCCAGCCTGAGCTATAGAATGAGACTGTCTCAAACTTCAACCCCCTCTCCCCCCATCAGAAACATTTCGTAGGCTACTGTTCTGGGTCACAGTGTGTCCCAGACTAGCCACAGTTGCATTCCTGTCGCTTTAGAAATTCATTTACTAACACCCCCCCCCCCCCCCCCCCCACACACACACACAGTTTTCTCTTTGTAGCCCTGGCTGCCCTGGAATTCACTCTGTAGACCAGGCTGGCCTTGAACTCTTAGAGATCTGCCTGTCTCTGTTGGGATTAAAGGCACATGCCACCACTGCCCAGCTCAAATTCTTGTTCTTTTTTTCTTCTACTTTTTTTTCGAGACAGGGTTTCTCTGTGTTGTTTTAGTGCCTGTCCTGGATCTTCCTCTGTAGACCAGGCTGGCCTGGAACTCGCAGAGATCCGCCTGGCTCTGCCTCCCAAGTGCTGGGATTAAAGGCGTGCCCCACCCCTGCCTGGCTCAAATTCTTATTCTTGAGGTGGAGGCCAGCAATCTATGTTTAAGATATTTTACAATGATTGTTGTTGTTGTTTGTTTGTTTGTTTTTTTGAGACTAAGTCTGTGTGACCATGGAACTCCTTATGTAAACTAGGCTGGCCTAGAACAGAGATCCAACTCTCTCTGTGTCCTGAGTACTGAGTATTAAAGGCATGAGACACTATGCCAGGCTCTTACAGTTTTGATGCAACTAAAAGTTCAAGAAACCCTATTATAGATAAATGTTTCCCACCCTTACTGTTTTTGTTGTTGTTGTTGTTGTTTTGTATTAATTTTTTTTTTCTGTTTTTTCAAGACATTTTCTCTTTGTAGCCCTGGCTGTCCTGAAACTTGCTCTGTAGACCAGGCTGGCCTTGAACTCAGAGAGATCTGCCTGCCTCTGCCTCCCGAGTGTTGAGATTAAAGGTGTGCACCACCATCACCTGACTTAGTATTTTTTCTTTGTCAGCTAACTTTCTAAAAATTTTAAGTTTTGTATATGTGTGCTTGCAAGCATTTGGTGGGGTGGTGCTGGGGATCGGACCCATGGTCTTCTGCAAAACTAGGCAAGCACTCCATTACTTGTGCTATACTATATTTCAGCACTTGGTTGTTGTTTTTTCTTTTTCTTTTTTTTTTTTTTTTCCGGTTTTTCAAGGCAGGGTTTCTCTGTGTAGCTTTGGTGCCTGTCCTGGATCTCACTCTGTAGACCAGGGTGGCCTTGAACTTAAAGAGATCTGCCTAACTCTGCCTCCTGAGTGCTGGGATTAAAGGTACGTGCCTCCACTGCCTGGCTTAATTTTTTTTTTTTAAGATTTATTTTTATTTTATGTGCATTGGTGTTTGGCCTGCATGTATGTCTGTGAGGGCGTTGAATCCCCTAGAAGTGGAGTTACAGACAATTGTGAGCTGCCACGTGGGTGCTGGGAATTGAGCTTGGATCCTCTTGAAGAGCAGCCAGTGCTCTTAACCACTGAGCCATCTCTCCAGCCCCATGGTCCTGTTTCTTTAAGCAGTTGGCATTACAGGCCTGTGCCTCAAAGCCCTGCTTAATTAAGTTAATTTTAGAAAGACATTTGTATTGCCATAAAAACAAATACAGATAGAAAGGTATTGTCATAATGATACAGCTAGACTCTGTTTTTGTTTGTTTTTTGGTTTTTGGTTTTTTTTTGAGACAAAGTTTCACTATGTAGTCCTGGCTGGCCTGGAACTCTCAATATAGAACAAGCTGGCCTCAACACAGAGATCTGCAAAACCTCTGGCTCTGAAGTGTTGGGATTAAGGGAATACATCACTATGCCCAGTTTATTAGTTAGACTCTTATCACCTAGAATTCCATATGCTAAAGGTTCGAATTTGTCAGGTATATCAAATAGAATAATATTGCCAAGTGGAAACATCTTTCATGAGTTAATGCTTCTTACTGTCTGGTAAGTATCTTGTTGATGAAATGGAATGACATCCCAAATCATCTTGTGCCAATTCCATATTTTGGAAAATACTGTTCTTAGTATTCATATAAGTTATTTGCCAGTATATTTCCAGCATATATTCAGGCCCATGAGTAGAATTGACTAACCAGAAATAATAAACTTGTGAAATGGAGAGTTTTCAGTCATCTCTAGGGAGGTCATCTAGACCTGCAGAATGAAATTACTTTATTTAGCTTGACTTCTCATTTTTTTTTTAGTATTTTGGTTCATGAGAGTCACCGGTTCTACAAGATGTCACTAATACAGTGGCCGTGTGAAATAGGAACACAGCAATAGAAATCGCAAGGAGAGCATGACTCTAGTTTATGGAAGGGGACAGAGAGGGACATACTTACTTGCTAGGAAAGAGATGATTTATCTTAGGCACTAGAAACTTAATAGTATGATGAATCTGTGTCACAATTTAATTTGTAGTATTAGAATATTTTAGACTGGTTTTTTGATTTTTGTTTTGTTCTTTGTTTTTAAATTTATTTGTGTATGTATGCCTGTTTGTATATGCATCATGTGTATAGTGCCAGAGGAGGGCAGAAAAGGTCATTGGATTCCCTGGAACTGGAGTCACAGGCAGTTGTGACCCGCCTCATGTGGGTGTGGGAAAGCAAGTGTAGGTCCTGCCCAGGAGCGTCCAATTCCTTTAACTGTTGGGGACTATATTTCCAGCCCCATAGTAGTGTTCTGATTGATTGTTTGAAAAACTTTAGGGTATAATTCATTCATAGCAGTAGAATCTCAATTACTTTCCTTGGTATGCCCCAGTTTGCTTTAGTCTTTTGTATTGTTTTGAGATAGGGTTTCTCTGTGAAGTTTTGGCTGCCCTGGAAATCCCTGTATAGATCAAGCTGGCCTCAAAATCACTAAGACCTGCCTGCCTCTATCTCCCAAGTTATTCTTTTTCTTAGAAATTTGAGGTGTAGTTGGTTCATTTTTTTTTTTCCCCCCTCTTGTCTCTGTCTCACCTAAGCTGGCCTTGAATTTAGGTGATCCTTCTGCCTCTGCCTCCTGAGTGCTCGGATCATAGACATGAGCTACTTGTAATCCTAGAGAGACCAAAAATCTAATATGTAAATATTTACAAACACTTACGTTTAAGCGACACATTTTTTTTTAATAGTGATTGTGGTTATTTAATTTTGAAAACAAACACCTATATGAATAAACAAGTAGTAGTTTTGTATATTTTGGTCATATTTTAAAAAGAATGACAGAGTCCCCAGAGACAACCCTTGTGAATGTGATGTATGTTCACAGCTTTTCTGCTGTACTATTCTGTAGGTTCAAGGCTCACTTCTCCATCCTGATGCTGTGTTTTTCATTTTAAATCGTCATTAGGTTGTCACTTGTTTTTCAGTACTGTTTTTTTCTTTCCTTTGTTGATTTTTGATATGGGGATTTTTTTTTTCTTGATGTTTATACTTATTTTGAACAATTGGGGACTTGATTGTTTTTTGAGACAGGGTCTCAAAAGTAGCCCTGATAGCCTGGAACAGCCTCAGGAGTTCTGAGATTAGAGGTGAGCCCCACCACACCTAGCTCTTTGAGGGTCTTTTTAATGGATAAATCAGCCAATCACATCATCTTTGGTTATTTTCAGCTGTTTCTTCAAAGATTGCCTTTAATTTGGATGTAGTGCTGTACATCTGTAATTCCAGCAGCTGAGAAGCTGAGGCAGAAGAATCATAATTTCTAGCTAACCTGGTCTGCATGGTGAGATTCCCTGTCTCAAAAGTAAAAAATAAAAATGGGAGGAAAAGATAGCTTCTATTGCTTCTAATTTTGTATGTAGAAAATTCTAGATAGAAGGAATCAAATAATCAGAGTACAAGTGTTACTTTATCAGAAATGAACAGCAACTCTGATGGAAATAAAGTTTAGTAGGCTGCAACTTTTGACATAAGTGCTAAATTCTGTATAACCTTATTAAAAATATTTTGAGATAAGGTCTCACTCTGTAGCTCCTTAGTCTGCTTTAGAAGTCACTGTGTAGTATCACTATGTTCAAGCTAATGACAGTCCTACTGCCTCAGCCTCCCAAATTCTGAGGCTGCAGGCATGAGGCTTTATGCCTGGCTTTGTGTTAACCTACTTGGCAGTTTAATTCTTAGGTAACAATTCAGGCCTTTGTAATGTCTCTCTTAAATCTGAGAAGTATGCTGATTAAAAAAAAAACTCCTACAGTAGATGTCCCCAAGAATATTTTTGTTATTTGTCAAGACCCTTTGCTTTGTATAATGAGAGAAGACTAGGTTGGAATAGTAGATGAAATGTAGCCTTGGAATTTAGTTTCTTTAGAATTTCTGTTCTTAACGTTGTTGTAAGCCTTTTCTCCAGCTTTATTTTTTAAAATAATTTTGTTACAAGTTTTCATACGTAAGTGATTTAGATTTTTAAAGTTTGTAAAACATCAATAGTCTTTGGTCATATACAGCAGCACTGAAATTACTAGCTGGTGTGGTACATGCTTGTAATTCCAGAAGTTGGAAGACTAGGCCAGAAAGAGTGTGAGTTTGAGATCAGCCAGGGCTGCATTAGTTAAACTTTGCTTCCAACTCTTGTTCCTTCCCTTCAACCCCCGAAAATATTTACTTTTTTTCTTCCTAAAATAAGCATTATATTTAAAAGTTTTTAAGCTTGTCAAGAGGATTATGGTTGGAATTAAACTAGTAGCCATTAGTGATTATTAAAGTATAGAACTGTATTAATCAAAAGACTATAAAGAAATAGTTTTCTAAACTGTGTAAGTAGTCCTATGTTTACATTTTCTGAAGAGAGAGAAAACTGCTACTACTAAGTGTGATTTATACATTCAGAAATATTTTGGCATTCCATTGGAAGACTCATAACTATTGGCTTTTGTATATAAATATCTGATTATATTGTTAAGATGTTGTGAGTCCTTTTATAAAATATAATGTAAATTGCTTAAATATGCTGTAGATCAATCTGAATATATTTATTAAGATAGCATGAAGGGGGAAATAAGTATTTTAAAAAGTAACTACAAAAAATTGGGCATGGTGATGCACCCTATAATCCCAACACTTGGCAGGTGAAAGTGGAAAGAGCAGAAATTCAAAGTCTTCTGGATACATAATGAGTTCTAGGCATCCTGGGCTACAGGAGACTATATGTCTTCCCCCCCTCCCCCCAAATAAAAGTAATTTAGGGGCTGGCAAGGTGACTCTGGTTAAGAGCACTTGCTGCTCTTGTATCAGTTTCCAGTACTCACTTGACAGCTCACAACTGTCTATACTTCAGTTCCAGGGGATTCTGTGCCCTCTTCTCACCTCTGAGAGCACCAGGCACAAGTATGATACACATATATACATGTAGGCAAAATTCATAAAAGTAAAAGTCCAAGTAATTATAAGCTGGGTGTGTTGCTACATACCTATAATCCCAGCACTTGGAGAGGCTGCGGCAGAAGGATCATGAGCCAGCACTAAGCCAGCTTCTCTGTCTCAAAAGCAAAAACTAGTAGCAGAAAGGTTTCTATAGATGCTGTTAAAGGACTTACAAAGATAAATGAGACAAGTAAGGTGCAAGGAGGTCTGTATTATAAGAGTGGTCAGGTTGATTGACTCCTCAGTACAGTAGTCACCTTGGTTCATGTGAAGACACAAGGCTTTAATTGTGCACTTCTTAAATTATCTCCATGCCCTGGAATAGATAAGAGACTGGCCATAGGTTTTTATGTAATTCCTATACTATTATGTGGATGTGCAGCTTATATTGGAAGAAAGGGTATTAATAGCTTGTCTTTGTATTTGGGATTAGGCAAACAAGAAGCTACTCATTTTCAATTCTGTTCTTATTTCTAGCGCTAACTTTCCTATCCCTGAAGGGGTGTAGGTCTTATTTCAGAGGGAAGGAGCCTGTTGTGTCCTAAGCCAACTGAGTGATAAAAGGTCCTAAACACACCTACAGATGGAGATGGTGGACACTCGGCTTGTCATACTAGAAAATGTGGGAGAACTTTCTTGTCCCTGCCTTCATTAATAGAAATGGGATACTTGCATTGCTTTGTATGCTGATGCATTTCCTGCTCTACTCTTTGTTTTCCCTAAGCTGAGCTCTGAGCTAAATCTGTACAAAGAACTATTGACTGCTTTTATATGTAAATTGCTTGCCATTAATGCCTGATGATATACAGTAAGATAGGATTCTGCATACCATTAAATATGTCAAGTATTACAACTTTAAGGTTCTTTTGAAATTATCATACTAAACTCAGTTCACTTTTGCTAACTTCACAGTTGTTGATCACATAGCATGGTCATCCACTCACAGCTTAAAAAAATACAGGGAGCATCGGAGAGAATGGGTAAAGTAAAATTTTGATGTTTTTAAAATAGCACCTAAATTTATGAAAGTTGATTTGGCTTATTGTTTGTGAGGGAGGGAAAGGGTGGGAGAAATTGAGGGGGAGGGGTGGGTTTTGGGAAAATAGCATGCACTGTGTACAATGTCAGATACCACTTAGGCCAAGGTTTTATGTGCTACTGATAAAATTTATATCAAGTCGTAGGGTATTACAACCGTAGGGTATTACAACGGGGTTTGTTTGCCTTCACAGCAGATTGAAGGGAATTTTGAGAGCAGTGTTGAGTTCAGTTTGAATGGGAACCCTGGCTTTAGTGGAGGCTTTTTCATACCCAGTGAAACTGATGCCTCAGTACCACCTTAGTTTCAGTTAGTGGATAGTTTTATATATATATGCATTTCAGTTTTTATTGTATACTTGTGATCTAACTGTTCTCAAGTGTTATAATTTATGACACCCAAGAAGGGATTGGACAAAAGAAGGCAATAAAGTTGTAATTCTGAAGATAGTTGTTTGGTGGACATTATTAATGGAACTTTTGGTGCTTCTATTCAAATGAAAATTAGTGGCCACCCAAAATTCTAAATCAGATTCCTCACTGGACCTAGTGGTACAGGCCTATATATAATCCCAGAATTTGAGAGGTAGAGGCAGGAGCATCAGGATTGTGGTATTTTTTATCTATATAGTGAGTTTAAGGACAACTTGAGCTACATGAGACCCTGCTTTAAAAATAAAGACCTAATCCATTCTAAAACCTTGCATTGTGATTATACATAAAGCTTAATTAATTTTGTGGAGGTCATAGGGCATAGAGACATGTTTTTATAGATAAAATAATTTGTTTTTGTTGTTGACTATGCCTGATCTAATCACTGCATCATTTAAGATTTTATTTCTCTTTTTTGAAATAGGGTTTGGATTTTCTGTATAGCCCTGGCCATACTGGAACTTGCTCTGTATACCAGGCTGGCTGTGCAGAGATCCGCCTGCCTCTGCCTCTCAAGTGCTGGGATTTAAAGGCATATGCCACCACTGCCCAGCTCAAAAATTTCTTAAAGTTCATTCATACACAGTAAATATGGATTGAAGAAAGATTTTAGGAACCAAATTTCACCCTCTAAAAATTGTACCCTTGACTCCAATCTCTGTATTCCCAGACATGCTCAGCCATTTGCCAAAGCTGAGTATAGTTTACTTACTGTTCCCCACACCTTCAAGCCTTTGTAAACTTTGTCAAAGATACTGTTCTGGTCTGGAATGTTTGTCTTTCCTCTAAGTCTTGTTTGTAGTGTTCGGATTTTGGCTTCTACTTAAATCCATGGAGCCTTTCCCAGTTTCTACAACCTTTTGGTGGTAGTTCTAGTATGTTCAAAACATCCCTTTGACACTTGGGTCATGTTATTTTGTGTTATTTTTATTTATATTTCCTATTTCTCTAGTGAAAATGTGGGCTCCTTGGGAGCAGAACATTTGTCTTAAGCTCTGTTACTCTATTTTGTAGCACAGAGGATAGAGTCACTAATAGGTTTAATTCTATGATTAGGATCTAGTATCATTGTGACAGCGCAGTTCCCTCTATATTTATTATTAGTTTTGAAACACATGTGAGAATTTATTAGGGGAATTAACTGAGATTTTGTGTGTGTGTGTGTGTGTGTGTGTGTGTGTGTGAGAGAGAGAGAGAGAGAGAGAGAGACAGAGAGAGAGAGAGAGAGACAGAGAGATTCATTGACCAGGAAACACAAATATGTAAAGCATGTTGAATGGATAAAATCTTGTATTAGAAGGATATTTTTTTCATATTCATTACCTATTTGTAGTCCTTTTTTTTCTTTCCTTTTTTCTCTTAAGTAAGTGGGTTCTATTTTATCTGGTTTCTTTTGAAAAGCATGGTTTGGGCCAGATGTTGTGACAAAGATAAAAGTTAAAATCATTTCTGTTTTAAAATTGTATAGTTAAATTATACTTATGTCATAAGTCCAAATATATTCAAATGCTGCATGATTTTGTAATTTTGTAGCCAAATTGTTTTAAAATATTAACCATAAAGTCCCCGTAAGTGGAACTTTTAAAATATCAATAGACAGATCCTCACTTACATGTCCTTCTCAGAGTATTGTTTATGTTGAACTACTAGTTTTATTATTTCAGTAAAAAGATTTTTATAATGGCTAATATTTGAAAGCTATATTTGATATTTTTGCTATAGTTATCAAATGTTTATGGAATACCTGCTTATTTGTAGTGAAGTATTTTAGATGCTTTTTTTTGGGGGGGCAGTTGTAGAAATTGATTCCTTCATTATTTTAAAGCTCACCAGGGCTGTTACTATGTTTATATTTGTAATTGTTCATGTTTTATCTGATAGTGTCTTCAGGGCATGGATCTCTTGTTAATGTACTTAATGTGATTTCTTAAGCAAAAATGGGCACTTTATTAGATGAGAAGTTTGATTAGTAAAACATCTGTAAATTTTAGCTTTATTCTAAGACCTCACTTAGACCCCTTCTCCCAGTGAGCCTTGAACTGACATTGCTGTTTCATTACCAAAAGCTTAGATAGTTGTAGCAGGGTGATTCTGAGATCTTCGTCCCCTAGAAATTTTAAATTCTTAATTACAGTAGAGTTTTAAACAAAGTCTTTCTAGGATCAAAAGGCTTCTATTATAGTTTTAGGTTTCTGATGTGAGCTTATGGTAGTTTGGTTCTCGTATGAGCTTGAGGCACTCACTAGTCTCCGTTGAAACATACTTTTAAAGAAACATTTCTCGAGTAGCCCAAGGGCCACTCATATAGCTCCAGTCTTGGGCTTTCGTTATCTTTAGTCATATTTTTCTCTGGGCTTATACTTACTAAGTCAGTATTGTAAAAACAAAACAACAAAAAACGAACACTATGATTTTGTTCACTTTTGTTTTCATATACAAGAATCTTTACAGTCAACATGTACTTCTAGGTGCTGTATTGAAATTGCTGGCAGAGTCTATTCTATACAAACTGAACAATCTGGCCCCTTGTTTTATTTGTAAAGGTTCAATGTATCTATGCCTGCCTACTTCAATCTGCAAGGGAGTTTCAGAAAGGCCCCGCATTCGCCGAGCCGTGAGTTATCACTAACTTTTCAGATGTGTTAATGAATGTGGAACAGAAGCAGTTGTGTTTAAAAGGAAATAAAAGTCCATCAAAGTAACATAGTAGCAGGCTTGAACACTAAATGGATTATTCCAAATTGTGTCACAAATAACCTACTAGAGATAAGCCTCAGAAAACCTATTGTTGAACTGCTCTGAAGCTATGGTTTTAGCAAATTATCTTTCTTAAAAATGTATGTGTCCTAGTTGCAAATCAGAATGTTATTTACATCTTCTTAACCAAGTTAAAACAATTTGAACAAAATCTTACCCCACAGTTTAGTAGACTTTAAGTTAAGCTCTTCAATATAAGAACACTTAAAAGGGGTAAAGTTTGAACATTTTTTTGTTTGTTTGTTTGATATTCACATGTGAAAATACAGAACTTAATTTATGAATTGCTTCCTAGTTGAAATGTTTGGAGTGCTGTAGGTATCATGTGAACTGCAGAGGTATTTACAATCTCTTTCGGTTTGTTTCAACAGTTTTCGCTTCAGTAATTCACCAGTAGGTTTTCATTTATCAGTGATATCAACTTAAGGCTATACCACATTTTTTAGGGCTTATCGTTCTGCATAGAGGAAACGACCCTGTGAGTTTTTCTTTTATTTCTTCAGAGAGTCTAAGCAAAAAAGTTGTAACTAACATTTGTATTTTGTTACTCTAGCTAGTTACCTTTCCTTTTCTTAGACTCTTTACCTTTTGAGTAAATAGCTTTATTTGATAAGCAGGTTGGTTGCTTCTGTTTAGGAGTTGTGTTTTATATGAGCACAGAATATATTTTATATTGCTTAGTTTGGCAATATAGCACAGACCACATAAAACTTGGAAGTGTGGAATCTTTGGAGGTATTAAAGTTAACATTTCATTAGGCAATGTGCCTTTGTTTGACTGGTGTGTAAGTCCTTCTTCCAGGTTTGTACGCTCTTAAACACCTTATCTACCCTCTTAACTCCTCCCAGCAGCAAAAGGGAGACACTTCAGCTGGAACAAAATAGTGGAAGAAATGGCGTCTGGGGTTCAGTGGGGATTCGCAGTGTGTATGCAATGTTTGAAAGATTACTTTTTATGTTTTTAAATTAATGTAAATAATTACAGAATAAATTAGTGCTTACTGTCAAGAGACCATTGTATACCAGTAGAAACTCTTGGTGGGTCTGCTGCAAGTTGCTTAACCTCTTGGGGCCTCATTTTCCTCATCTGCAATATGAAGGAGTTGGACTTGATAACCTATAAAGTCCATTCCTGCTCTAAAATCCTATGCTTTTCTGAAGTACTTTTATTTAACAGAATGCTTTGCTTTCCCACTTTGACTATTTATTTGAATTACATTTGCAGTACATATACTGCAACTGCATGTTGTCTAAAATAAAGTTTTTCTATAGGATGGTATATAAAAAACTAATCCCTCCTGGGTTGATTTATAAGTGTCTGTATATAGATTGTCAGACACCAAAAGCTAGTGGTAACTAGGACTTTCAAAATATAAATATTGTCTAGTTGTCTAACCTTGAATATTATTAACTTTTCTATATTACAGGAGATACTACACGACAAAGAATCAAATTCAGCGATGACAGAGTATGCAAGAGCCACCTTCTCAACTGTTGTCCCCATGATGTCCTTTCTGGAACTGTACGTGGTTATTAAGTTGTTTCATTACTAGTGTGCTACAAAAATGAAGTTCTTGGTAAAGTCTTAATTTTTTTTTTTTTTTGGCCAGATTACTTGTTATTGTTTTTAACAGTGTTAGAAAAGATTTGCATCCCTTTCGTTGTTTATTCCCACTGATAATTTAATTTTTTTTATATAATTTATTTATTTTTATTTTATTTGCATTGGTGTTTTGCTGCACGTATGACTGTGTGAGAGTGTCAGATCTTGGAATTACAGACAGTTGTGAGCTGCCATGTGGTTGCTAGGACTTGAACCCAGGTCCTCTGGAAGAGCAGTCAGTGCTCTTAACCACTGAGCCATCTCTCCAGCCCCAATAATTTAGATTTTTAATAATGGATTTCCTTACAGAAGTAGTTGTCTTGTTTTCATATATTTTTCACCATCCTTCTATTGGTTTTGTCATTCTTGTTTGATTTCTCTTTTCTTCTGGTCCTGGACATGAACACAGAACTTCGCACATGCTACGTACATACTTAAACACTGAGACATATCCCAGGTTCTCTACTATTTTTTGTTGTTATTGTAGTGGTGGTGGTGGTTGGTGGTTTTTTTTTTTTGGAAGTTTTTTTTTGGCTTTTTTATTTTTTAATGAAAGATTTATTTATTACGTATATAGTGCTCTCTCTGCATGTATGCCAGCAGGCCAAAAGAGGGCACCAGATCTTATTACAGAGGGTTATAATTGAACCTGGGTCCTCCGGAAGAGCAGCCAGTGCTCTTAGCCACTGAACAATCTCTCCACCCCACTCCCCCACCCCTTTTTTGGGTTGTTTTTTGGTTTTTCAAGACTGGGTTTCCCCCTATCGACGGTTGTTTTTTTTTTTTTTTTTTTTTTTTTTGAAGGCAGTATCTGTTTCAAACTGGTAACCTTGAACTTGATCCTCTTGGCCTTCACCCTCCCAAGTTCTGGAATCATAGATATGTATCAGGAAGCTGGGCCACGAGCAGATTTTTGTTTTCTTCCCCTTTTATTTAATTTTTATCCAAAACGTGTATATTGGGATGGTTCCCCTACGGATTTGGGATTCAGGGTGCTTTTAGTGCCACTTTCTCCTGAAGGAGCATCCTTCTGTAAGCCTTTCTTTTCTGCCTGTAGGCTGACAGAGAGAGGACAGTGCAGCAGCCAACACATTAGACAATTGTTTGTGCATGGCTCAAGACCAGGGTGATTTTACAGCATCTTGGGTATTTTACATCCATTAAGTAGGAATTGGGGCTCTGTACCAAATGCTTTTTCTTACTTCTCTTCTGAAGAGGGATGAAGGAAATCTTTTGCAAGAGGCATGTTTTCACGGGGCAGTGGTCATCAGGGAGGTGGTCACTGTCGCTTGGAAAGGCCCTGCCATTCCTTATCTTTTTTTTTTTTTTTTTTTGGTTTATTTTGAGAGTTTCTCTGTGTAGCTTTGCGTCTTTCCTGGAACTTGCTTTGTAGACCAGGCTAGCCTCGAACTCACAGAGATCCGCCTGCCTCTGCCTCCCAAGTACTGGGATTAAAGGCGTGCACCACCACCACCGCCCGGCTGCCATCCCTTATCTTTAAGTGACACAGAGGATTTGATCTTTAACTTTTTGAATTTGATTGAAATTATAATGAGTAATTTCCCTTCACAGATATATTTGTTGATGGGTAACTGTTAGGGGCTGAATCTTGACCTCATTTTATTTCTCATTTGCCAGAAATATCTAGAATGAAGAAAGGATTTCCAGATTACTTTTCCATAAGGAGTGAGTGCTCTTAGCTACAGACACCCAAATGAATGTTTTTTTTTTTTTTTAGTGAAATTAAGGATATCCCTCAAACATAAAAGTATCAAGAAGACACATGCAGTAGGAAACATTTTTGTCATTTCCTAGTGGGAAACGCAGTTGAAACTGTTAAGTGCCAAAGCCTGGTATGGTGATCTAAATGTGGAATTCCAGCACGTTGCCAGCCTGAAGACAGAATCTGAAGTTTGAGGCCAGCTTGAGCTACTTAGTGAGACCTTGAAAAAGAGCCTGAAAAAAGTTTTAAGTATAATACAACATAGTAAGAAATTTAGTTTGTGGGCAAGTTCAACCCTTGAATTAGGACTTTGACAAGTATTAACAGGTAATAAACTAATTTTTTTAGTGTTTCTGTAAGTACTTCCATTTTTAATTTTGTTTATAATCCTGATTGCAGGGATTAGGCATGCACCACTTCGTAGCTTTTAAACCTTTTCTACTGTATTAATACATTTGTATCTATAATATACCTCTCATCTGTAGAATACTCTGGTATTTTCCACATTTAAATAATTAATTTATATTATGTATAGGAGTGTTTTGCCTGCGTTATATCTGTTCGCCATGTGTTTGTGCCTGATACATGAGAGGCCAGAAGAGGGTATTGGATACTCTAGGATTGGAGTTCTAGAAGGTTGTGAACTGCCATGTAGGTTCTAAGAGTCAAACCCTGGTCCTCTGGAAGAGCAATCAGTGCTCTTAATTGCTGAACTATCTCTTCAGCCCCAGAGGTTTCCCACATTTGGTGTTGTAGGAAATTAGATGGTTACATTTTTTGTTGCATGTGTTTGTTTTGGGGTGTGTTTGCACATTGTTCACTCGCATGTGGAAGGCAAAAGAGAACTTTGGTTGTCCTCAGAAACACTACTCGCCTTCTTTGTGATGGGATCTTGGCCTGGAGCTTACTGATAAAGCTAAACTTGCTGGCCAATGAGTCCAAGAAATCTGCTGCTTGAATGTTCTCAGCACTGAGATTACCATGTCTGCCATTTTACATCGGTGCTGGGCATGCTGACTAGTTTTGTCTTTGACACAGCTGATGTCATTGGAAGAGGAAAAAGCCTCAATTGAGGAAAAGCCTCGATAAATAAAATCGGGCTGTAGTTCAAAACTGAAGGGCATTAATTGATGGGGGAAGGCCTAGCCCATTGAGAGTGGTGCCATCCCTGGGCTGGTGGTCCTGGGTTCTATATGAAAGCAGAGTGAGCAAGCCATGAGGAGCATGCCAGTAAACGGCACTCCTCTACGGACTCTACAACAGTTCCTGCCTTCAGGATCCTGCCCTGCCATGCTTGAGTTCCTGCCCTCACTGCTTTTGATGATGAACTGTTATATGGAACTGTGAGTAAAGTGAATTCTGTCCTCCCAAGTTGTTTTTGGTCATGGTGTTTCATCACAGCAATTGTAACCCTAAGACACTAAGGCTCATCCCCAGGTCCTTGTGTTTGTAAAAGAAGCACTTTACCAACTGAATTATATCCCTCGCCACCAAAATAACCTTATTTAGTGGACAGATCATCACTTTTGATGAACATAGAAGATAAGAGCAACAAAATTATAGAATTCATTGTTACTTATTTCTTTTTCTTTATTTTGAGACAGGATACTATGTAACATTGCCTGTCTTTGAACTGGTTCTGTAGCCATTGATGACCTTGAACTACAGATCTTTCTACCTTTACCCACCAAGTGGTGTATGTATGGTTGTGTACCACCTGTGAGTCTGGTGCCAATGAAGGTCAGAAAAAGGTGTTGGATCCACTAGAACTGGAGTTACAGGTAGTTGTAGGCCACCATATGGGTGCTGGAAACCAAACACACTTCCTCTGCAAAAACAAGTGCTTATAACCACTGAGCCATCTCCAGCCAGACACACACCCTTTTAAACATTCTTGAATGTCCTAAGCCTGAAATTTTTAAAAATTCATTGTTGTATGTGTTTTCATGATGCATGTGTTTATGTCACTGCATATGTATCGAGATTAGAGAAAAGCTTGCAGGAGTCAGTTTTTTCTTCTATCATATGCATTACAGATAGTTAGGAACTGCCTTCTGTGTGGATGCTAGGAATCTAACTTGGGTTCTCTGAAAGAGCAACCAGTGCTTTTAATCACTTAGCTATCTCTTCAGGCCTTTTCAATATTTTTTTCCCCTCCAAGACAGGGTTTGATTTTTCGAGACAGGTTTTTCTGTGTAGCCCTGGCTGTCCTAGAACTAGGTAGACCAGGCTGGCCTCAAACTCATAGAGATCCATCTGTCTCTGCCTCCAGAGTGCTAAGATTAAAGGAGTATGCCACCACTGCCGGCTAATTTTTTTTTTGAAAAGAACATTCTTTAGATTTTTGGGAGACGGGGTCTTGTGTATGCACCCCAAGCTTGTCTCAAATTCCCTTTGTATTGGAGAATGGCCTTGTACTTCAGATCCTTTGGTCTGTCTCCTTAACAGGCATGTAGAGACACATCTGGTTTTATGTGGTGCAGGAGATTAGTGGTGCTGGACTGGGTGGTGTTGACAATTGGCTATTGTCTTAGTTTCTGTTCCTGCCATGAAGAGACAGCATGTACCAAGGCAACTCCTAAAAGGAACAGGGCTTGCTTATAGTTTCAGAGGATTAGTTCATTATTGGCATGGCAAGAAGATAGGCAGGAAAGCATGATGATGGAGTGGTCGCTGAGAATTCATTTACATTCTACTCCACAGACTGAGAGAGACAGAGGGCCTGGCTGCATGCTTTTGAAACCTCCAAGCCAATCCCAGTGAAATACCTAGAGAGTTTACCAGCTGGAAATTAAGCATGCATATATATGAGGCTGTGAGAGTCAATGTCATTCACACCACCATAGGTATCCACACCAGCTTTAGCATCAGTATAGTAACTCATGAGATTGGGGGATTGGGGCTTGAGGGAAGGGATGGACTAGAGCAGGTCAAAAGTTCCAGCTGATCAGTAAGTGCTTATTACAGAGAGACCAAGAATTTTCCCTTCAGCCCTGTACAACATTTTCAATAGATTGGTGGTGGTGGTGCCTTTAATCCTAGCACTCAGGAGGCAGAGACAGGTGGATTTCTGTGAGTTCGAGGCCAGCCTGGTGTACAGAAGGAGTTCCAGGACAGCCAGGGTTATACAGAGAAACCCTGTCTTGAAAAACCAAAAGAGAGAGAGAGATTGGTCAAGTTTTTTAAAGAGTATCGG